AATAATAATAATAATAATAATAATAATAATAATAATAATAATAATAATAATAATAATAATAACAACAACAACAATAACAACAACAATAACAACAACAACAACAACAACTGGCCACTGTGATAGAATTCTGTTGTTGCTTAACAATAATAATAATAATAATAATAATAATAATAATAACAACAACAACAATAACAACAACAATAACAACAACAACAACAACAACTGGCCACTGTGATAGAATTCTGTTGTTGCTTAACAATAATAATAATAATAATAATAATAATAATAATAACAACAACAACAACAACAATAACAACAACAATAACAACAACAACAACAACAACTGGCCACTGTGATAGAATTCTGTTGTTGCTTAACAATAATAATAATAATAATAATAATAATAATAATGATAATAATAACAATAACAACAACAGCAACAATAATAATAGCAACAACAATAACAAGCAGAACAACAACAACAATGAAAAGCTAACAAGTTTAGGAGGAAGAGGCTTTATGGTAAAGCCATGTCAAAACGAATTTTTCAAAACGAATCACTCAACACATTGCTCAAATTGAAAAATGTATGTATTATTAAAATACAAAGGTTGATACCTACCGTGAGGGTGTATATCCACTGTTACACACTGAAATCTTCCATTTCTGCAAACACTAGAAATAGCAAAAAATAATAGGAAAATACATAAAATTATAAAACAGTAGCAATAAGAATTTTGCAAATCAATGGCAATTTATATACTTTTAATGGAAGTATATTTTATTACAGTGATTTTTTGAATCCCTGACTGGTATACCACTGATACACAATACAAGCAGTCAGACTAGAAATGTCAGTGATTTGATAAGCATTGCCACGTACTTTCATATGTTTATGATAATGTTTTAAATGTACATTCCTGCCAACATTCCTTCATTTTCATGAATCAATCATTTAAAATAAATGATGGATAAGAGCATAATTAATACTGTACCTATGGTAGTACTCAGTAGTGGGATTCAAAAAATTTTTACTACTAGTTCTATGGGCATTGCTTGATGGCGTGCCTTGATGAATGTGGCAGAGAAAGGATACTGTAAAATCTCCATTCCCACCCCACTCTAGGGGAAGGATACTGCAAAATCCCCATTTCCTCCCAATTAGCTGGGATTCGGGAGGCATAGATGGGGTGGTGCCAGTCAGAGGTGGTATTTACTGATTCTCCGAACTACTCAAAATTACTGGTTTTTACCGAATTACCGAACTATCGGTTCTCCAGAACTGGCCAAAACCTCCTGGTAAAACTCTTTAAAGTTATCACAAGTATTCAAGCATTCCGAACCAGGGGTGGGTTTCAAAACTTTTTACTACCTATTCTGTGGGCATGGCCTATTTTGTGGGTGTGGCTTGGTGCTCATGTGATTGGGTGGGCATGGCTAACTTGATGTCACTCACCAGAAGATGGCATGGATTGGGTAAAATGTGGTNCAGGCTGGATTGCTGCCAAGGTTAGTCTGTGCTGGATTGCTGCCAATGTCTAATCTGTGCTGGATTGCTGCCAAGGTCTAGTCTGTGTGTTAATAAAACCTTGAAGTATCTTTGTCTCAGCGTGCTTTGGTGTAGGAAGAGGGGGATCAGAACACATCACTATCAAAATTACATCACTTTTGGAATACAGGCATAAAAAAGCCAGAACAGAAAAAAGACATACCTGACCGGTACCCAGTGTTTGACAACTAAGTTGTATTGGTGTTTGGGAAGACCAAGAGTCAAAGTTGTTGCAATCAAAATATGTCTTATTGGATGAACATTCTGAAAAGGAAATAAAGAACATTGGAAAAAAATCTCTCGGATTTAGTTCCAACCTAATGGACTGGTCTGGACAAAACTCAGCAGCACTTTTTCATGCATCTGTTAACAAAAATAGGATTGCCAACCTGATCGCCAACATCCGATGAAGGATATAGCACAAGAAGAAGCAGGAATATAGAATTGAAAACTCAAAAAATCTAAGGAATCTGGAATGGTTTGCACCTTTAAATATATGTCACACTGCAAATTTAATATTATATACGTGGAAAATGCTCTTGTCAAAATTCTTGTATCACTTTAAGATGGAATTGCCTTGCAATGCCTGCACAAACTAGTCCACAAAGTTGAATTGACACCATGGATTGAGAGCCATGGTGACACAGTGGTTAGAATGCAGTACTGCAGGCTAATTCTGCTGACTGCCAACTTCCAGCAGTTTGGCAATTTGATTCCCATCGGTTCAAGCTTGACTCAGCCTTCCATCCTTCTGAGTTTGGGTAAAATGAGGACCCAGATTGTTGGAGTGGCAATATGCTGACTCTGTAAACCACTAAGAGAGGGCTGGAAAGCACTATGAAGCAGGATATAAGTCTAAGTGCTATTGCTATTGCATGACCTTGACTCCAGTTTTGGACATTAGAATAATGATGGCAGTACAGGACTCCCAGGATTTTTTTAAAAAGCCTTGACTCAGATATAACTGTGGTTGAAAAGAAGAAAGTGTGGATAATTGATATGGCAATACCAGAGAATAGTAGAATAGCAAACAAGATATTGGAGAAGATCACAAAGTATTAGATCTGACATTAAAATTCAAATATTATGGAAAAAATTAGTTGTGTTTCTATTGGTTATCAATACACTAGGTGCCATACCAAAACATCTTGGATGGCACCTAAAAGAACTGTGTTGATAAAAATTTTCTTCTATCGATTACAAAAGGCCATATTGCTTGGATATGTATGTATGTATGTATGTATGTATGTATGTATGTATGTATGTATACATACATACATACATACATATATACATACATATATGTGTGTGTGTATACATACATACATACATACATACATACATACATACA